AATATAAATGTTAAAGCTGCGCCCCCGAGCTCAGACTCAATAAAACTTTGCAAGATCCCGTGGGAAGTTTTAATTCAATCACATGGTATGAGGATTACACGTCCACCTTCATACTGCATGTTACAGCTTATGTTGTAGATTTTTCATATATTTCTTGAGAAAAGTTAAGTGAGCTTTTTAAACCTAGATTTGGTAACATTTGCACTCACGCCAGTTACACTAAAACTTGTGTGAAATTACAATAAAACATATAAAAAGTGTTTTAGCCAACAGTTTGTGAGACGTCATGTTGAATTATGTGGCAAATCTTGTGCTTATAAAAATAAAACAAAATAATTTTACCATAGTTGAATTGTTAAAAATAATTAGCAACAACTGCCATCTATTGGCCAGTAGTGTGAACTTTTAGAACAAAAATTCCCTTTGTGCGCCATCTCTTGATAAAAAAATATAATGTTTTAAAATTTTTTGGAAAAATTCTTTTTGTGCATTAGGATAAACAGTGAAATTTTAAATGATTTAAGTAAATACTTTTAAAGTTTTACAAAATTTTTTTTTTTTTTACCACAAATTGTATATCTTAAGCTCTAAACTTTTAAACTTGCTATAACTGTCAATGTCAGAATCAGCTGCGACTGCTTGTGTCAATGTAGTTCATTTAGTTAATTTTAAGGTTATAAAAGTATTATTGTAGTTTTATAATACTTTTAAGTTAAAGGTAAGAATTAGACTTTACAGGGACCTACATTTTTACGTTTTAAGTATGATCATTTGACAAACATGGACATTAATGTAAAAGAAATTACAAAAGTTTATAAATCATATAACCTCACTCGATTTGTTTGTTTTCAGATGAATCTAATAAGAAGGGGAATAAATCTTTTAGCTTCAAGTATTAGGACACAATGTTATCAGACACCAGGTATGTTCATCATTTTCCTTTCTAACATGTGTTTATTATTACATTTATGTAATTTTTCATATTTATTTGAAGGCTATGAGGGAACCTTTATATTAATATGAACAATGCCCCGATCCCTAATATACGACTAAGTGTGAGCTTCTATGGAGTATTCAATGTCTTTGATGTTATAATTTAAACTTTATGCCGTCAGCATATTATGAATTTGAGCATTTATGTATTCTGTTACAAACGAAATGATTTTATAATTTTCATACTTTATTAAATACATCACTATCAACACATATACATAGAAGCATGTTGAGTTTTCTTTATTCCGTAAACATTTTTAAGTCATATCTGCATTATGAACTTGGCAAAGCTGGATTTAAAGTTAGAAAATATTGATACATACTACAATTTTATTTTAAAATTTCTTACAAATTAATCTTTATAAGTGTACAATGTAAAAGAGAAATTACTGTTACCCCAACAATCGTTAAAATGAGTTAGCTAATTTTGATTTAGATTTATAAAGAATGCACTCTTAACACAAATAGCATTAGACAATCTGCTACCTACTTTAAAAGGAAACTTAACTTTATTTAAAATGTCTTAACTGTTAAACATAAAAGTAACCAATATGTTATTCAAAATAAAGTTACAATTTCTGTGTGCTATTTCATCTACATTTTTCGAGTCAATCATTTGTAATTCAGCCACAATTCATTAAAATGTTCGATTTTACAATGTACACTAGTTCCCTTTTACAATATCTTACTAATATTATAAATGCAAAAATGTATATTTGTTTGTAGAGTTTGTAGACTAAACTGCTGAGTGGTTTTTGATGAAATTTGACATATTTGTAGAGGATAGTCTGCAAGAACACACAGGCTACTAAGTTTTGTTTTTTAATTCCATGAGGAAGGAGTCGTGTGTGAAAGCTAGTATTGTAATAAATAAATAAACCAAAGTAATTCAAATCTAGTGTAGTAATTTAAAATGATCAAAGGCCATCCTATATTTTTGTATTCTTTTAAATATAATAATTTATCTTTACCACAAATCCTTGTCCAGTCGTAATTATTTATTAAAATTAAACTCATAAAAATAACTGTATTGTGAGAGAAAATGCATTTAAAAATACAGAGTTACAAAGGGACAGAGCGTGCGACGCGTTACATTGTTTGTCTTTTGCACTTATGTACTATAATACATAGGAAACCACAGCACATAGCTGTCAATATAGCGGCGGCTCAATTTACCGATGTTCACATCT